ATTTTTTAAAGAATCTGGGAACACATCATCCCACGATCTAGTGATGCTCCCACAGCAGATTTTATGCTAATTTCAAAATTGAATGTCGTACTAGTCAAGAAATTACCTGGACTTGAAAAATGCTAATTAACATGGGCATTAAAAATGCTACTTTATTTTGATTTCAGGCTTGTGCACTATTAATCTTATAGGTGAATAATGATCAATTTGGAGAGGAAAAGCATAAAAGGATAATTCTCTTTCACTAAAACTTTAAGCAAAGTATGAGCCCGTACCATTGTCTACAGGAAGGGTAATTTTTACATCATCAGGTAAACCAACCGAATTCAAATGTTGCCGAGCCTTGGGTATGAAATGATTTTCAAACCAATCATTTATTAATGCTTGTGTCATCCATGCTCTCTTATTTGCACAACATATAACAGAAAATCTTTACTACTTTAAATGCTCGAGGTATGTACTTTTTTCGATTATGAAAATATTACATTTATGCTCTCCTGTAGCATTTGCACATGCTAAAATTGTTAGTCTTGTTTTGGAATATTTGACACCAGTTGAAGCTTTTTCTGTAGAGTTTCGCAGTACATATTGCCAGAAAAGATCAGATTTATCTGCATTGTAAATTTGTTGAGATAACTTTTCTCTATTAGTGCTAGATATCTTACTGATTGATGCAGTCTCTGTGTGTCCTAAATTCTGTTAACAAGCGCTTTCCTAAGCTCAAAATTTTTGCCGTCCCTAAATTTTGGGTTCTAGTGCTTTCCCTGAATTCTAAAAATTTTGTCATTCCTTAATTTTGCTGCTTCTCTAAATTCCAATAAAATTGTCTACCCTAAATTCCATCACCCATTGCAACCATATGAGCTCTGGTGCCGGTTCTGGGTTTATGTGAATGACAAATCAGTTATTCTTAATTCAAATAGCACTAAATTTAATCTTTTGGCCTATGAGTAGCATTAACTAAATCTGTTTTTAGCACATGGAGAGAAATTAAAAAAAAATTTTTTTAGTCAACATTTCTAAATGCATTTAACTTAAATCTGTAATCATTGCCTAGCGTCACAAGACAGAAACATCAGAAAAGTTTACCGTACTCTTTGTTATTCAATTACTAATAAAAGGAAAACTTGGCATTGCTGCATGAGTGATTACACAAGTTATCATGTGCTGATAAACATACAGTGATGAAGGCCAAATATAATAAAAATGATTTGCCAGGTTGGGCATCAGGAATATAAAATATTAGTTGGTGTAAAATCAATGATGTTTGGAATGTTTTGGTTTGAGATGTATGCCAAGCAGATATGCAGATAGTGAGTCAAATTATTGATCAAATAAATTTATGCTAAAATGATTGTTTTTTCAATAACAACTCTCCACATGTTTTATTACAGGGGGAAAAATCAAATGCACATGCGTAAACTATAGGATAAAAAGAAGGTTGTTGTTGACTTTGAGGTCCGGATTTCAGATCATTCCAGATATTGGACTTCCGGATCTCGGAATTTGTACTGTTATACAGGGTCGGATTTACATATAAAGCTACACAAGATATAGCTTAGGGCCCCCACTTTCTTTGCCCCTCCCCAAAAAATTAAAATATAGTACAAATAATATTAAAATATACTATAACAGACTTATAAAGGGCCCATATCTCAAATAGCTTAGGCTCAGCTTCTTCAAATAGCTTATCAAGTCTAAATCAGGCTCTGATTGTATATATCATTATTCTCTGCACATCTGTTAACTAATCATAACTACAGCATCAGTTGTAATCAGCAGACAGTTCAGAATCTGTTTCTTCATATTCTTTCCATTAAAAAGCTCAAAGCATGTGCTTATGGTTTTTTTTCCCTCCCCGGAGGGGGTTTGAATCTGATAGGCTAGCGTTCATGCGCATACATTTTGCAGCACTGAACATAACATAGAAAGGAAAAAGTAATAATTTTTTTTTCTCTTTTTTTTTTTTGTGCTGAGTGCATATAGACAGTAGGTTGGTAGTCTTTTTTTTTTTTTTTTTTTTTTATCAACCATCATGTCTCTTGTGGTGATACCATGTGTCTTTTTAAATCTACTCTGTTTACTCATCCCTTTGCATAATACTTTGTATTTTTGAATATAAAATGCTGTGTTGAATAGTTTGGAATAATTATACCTTTATCATTTGAGATTGTACTGTTTGATGCCATCATTACACAGAACAAATCATAATGAACAGTGGTTGTAAAATCTCAGAAATAAAACTTGTAATAATGCTCTGGTAGTTATCAATTATATTTCAATGTAGTCTAATTTGAGGTCATCAGAAATTTATATAGTTTTATCTCTACAGTCTTTTTTTATTGCAGTAAACAAAGAAAATTTGACATCTTTATTAATGATTTTTGTATTCTCACATTAAAAAATATTTGAAATCTAACCATTGTATGAAAGAGGAAAAAATCATTTAAAAATCATGTCCTTATTTAATGAGATTGGTTAAGCATCTTACCATCGCAAGAAATATTATCTGAGGTAAGTTTTGAGTATCTTATTTTATGCTTGTAGTAAATGAAATTGCATGTGCTTTCACTGCACTGCTCTCACTCTTCAAATAATTTTTTAAAAATATTAGCAGTAGTTTTAATGTGTAACATTTGATGAAAATCTTAATGCATAAAATTAGTTTGAAATTTAAACTTCACATTCTGATATTTTGAAAAATATTTCTATAAAATTTTAATTATCTGGGGGAGGGGAGTCATGTTTTGTTATTTTTTGAAAAAATAAAAGCAGTTTATTTTTTAGAATTTTTTATTTTTTAATTACATTAGCTTATTGATGTTTTTTTAGTCAAAAGACTAAATTTGCATAATCTAAAAACACCTATTTTTTTTAACTTATTTATTTTTCTATTTATACATTGAAAGAGTATAAAATTTTCACTGTGTAAAATATTGCTGAAGCAGATTATTTTGATTAGGGAAGCACATGATCTTAAGACTTGCCAGTTTTGCTCAAACTTTGCATGTTATAGGAGAACCTTATCTTCCAACTGACCAAAATGGATCTACAGGGTGTGGCAGGGGAACTTCCTTATTTGAAACACATGCCATCTAAGAACATTTATTCCAGGAAGAGTGGGGTGGCGCTCATTGAAAGAGCAGTGTCTAACGTTTTATGTTGTGTAGGTTTAGTACCGATCATGCAGTGGACGAGAGAGAAGGGCTCGTTCAACGTGGAGTCGTACTTTTCAACATACTGCATTTTCATCCATATAAAGTGGCAGTGGTGCAAAAACTTAACCCACGCGATTTTCTCTCACGAAAAAATGCATGTGGTACCATTCTTGACAATATGCCTTATGATGGCCTTGATGCCCTTTAGCGATGAGGCTCATTTTCATCTTTCCGGTTGCCTGAATAAGCGCAAAATATGCACTGCTGGAGTGGCATAAATCCTCGAGAATTTCATGAAAAGCCCCTTCATACAGAACACGTAACTGTTTGGTGTGTAGAATAGGCATCATTGGATCATGGTTTTTTGAAGAACATTTCCCTGGATGCTTTATCTCCTTAAGGAGCGATCTTCAGTGGCCAGAGCGCTCACCTGATTTAGCCCTGTGTGATTTCTTTTTGTGGGGCTATATGAAATCTCTAATGGCCAAAGACCCTGGCTCAACTGAAGAACAATATTCAAGCTGCTATTGTCAACATACCGGTTGATATGCTGGTAAAAGTGGAAAGAAACTTCACAACTTGACTATCTCAATGCACTGACCAGAACGGAGGCTGCGTTAATGATATTATTTTTAAACCATAATAAAAAAACCCCTTTAAGTATCTCTTTTTTTTTTTGCAACTAAAATAGATTACTCTGTATATGGGAAAGCATTCTAAAGGAAAGTGCTTTATTATGAATGTTTCTTGTAGTTTTAATTTTGTTAATTACTGTTTTATGTTTGTTTTGTTATTTTGTGCAATTCTTGGTTGTAGTGCTGCTCTTATTGATATCACAATTTTTTTTAACTGTTTTCCTCCATTGTATATTTATGTTTTTGTAAAACACATTTAATTTTCAGAAGGGAAACGGGGTGAAAAAAATCAAATCTAGGCAATATTGTTATTTATTGTCTGTGTGTGTGAAAAGAAAATTAAAAGAATGAGCAAAATTATTCATTCAGATTTCTGAGGAAGTGCACATAAAAACTGACCAAAATACAAACAGAGAAGTTAAAATCTAGTATAAAGGGTGTATGTGAAAGAAGCACTCTGTTAGGAGTGACATAATTTTATGGTGTTCTATATCGTGATGAAGTGCAGCTGCAATATAAAATGGTTTTAATCAAGAACTTAAGATATTCTATAATATTTGCATTGGTATGGAAAACAGACTGAAAAGGTAACCGAACATTCATAAAAAGTTAATATAATTTTTTGCTCCAACCTCTGAAAACGTTATTTTAAATAATTTTGCTTTGAAATAAAATAAAACAACTAATAATATGCATTGAAAGTGACATTAGCATCAGAATTCAAACTGAGAACTCTTAGTTTGTAAGATTGGCATGTTACTACAATCAATGTCTTTGAGGAATTTTATAGGAATAAACTTAAATATGAGAATTATATAAAATTTTAGCTTTAGCTATCATGCTAATTTTCGAGAGGCATTACTTGCAGTGTTTGGACTAATTTGGTGACTCTAAACTTGTGTGCTTCCCTTATTAGTAAATTTTGATGAGAGGTACTATTATTACTATACTTAATATTATTTTTGTTTATTTGAATTGAGGAAGTGACAGAGAATATGTATAAATATTTAGGGAAATAAATTTTAATTTTATGTTGCCTATTGTATCTTTCAAATTTGAACACTTGTCTGAGGTTTTAAAGGTCACTTTGTGGATAATCTGTTTATGAGGCCATGTGGAAACTCGTAAGAATGGCTAGTGCAAAATATATATATTTACAAAGATAGCCGTGCAGTGATTCCTACGATGTCTAAATCTTTAATTGTAGGTCTGTCAACGAGAACTATGGGAATTGATGCCAAAAACAGACTTCTTAAGAAAGCTGGAACCGTTAATCCTGATGACCCTAATATACCTCCTGATCTCAAAGGTAAAAGTATTCAGTTTAATGAAGTAAATTGAAGTACTAAAAATTAGCAATCTTGCTTGGTAGAAGGAAAAAAAAAAAAAAATTGGTACTTAATGTATTAATTTCACCACCTCCTGGTAAATAATACTCAGTGTTTTTTGTGCTGAATAAACTGGAAATCTTGGTGAATATTTTCCCATTATTTGAAGGCATAGAGATGTAACTTAAGTAATTCATGTAGAAGGATTCTAGTAAGCAAAATGTTTTAGTATTTATTTTTCACCTTGCCACACATTTAAAATTTTGCCATTCCATTAATTTTTTCCAGGCATATTAAGGCTTTTTATTTTGTTTTTGGATATTTAATAGCACTTGACCACCTCTGGTACAGTAAATAAACATGTACAAGTCTGAGAAAAAGTGACAGAGGGCTTGCTTAGTGTTGTAGTTTGGGATGTGCTTCCTTCCTATTTTGTATTATTACAATTGAAGTAATTAGTCACCAGTGAGTATGATTTATTTTATGGTTGCAATTTAGTATATTTTGTTGTTAGGCAGGAATATTTGTAATGGATGGTGTTAAGAGGCCAATGAATGAAGGATTATTTTACTTTTTAAAGTAAAATTTTTATTTTCCAGTTGCAAAGAGAAATTACTTGCAACTAAATATATAACTTATGAAAGAATGATTTAGATGTCGGAAAGATAAAAAAACTTAAGCAGTTGAAGATGCAGAAAACTTCCCCGCCTTTTTATTACTCTGTTTAGGAGAATTTTCATTTAGTTTGTGCTTATGGTAAGTAATTCACACATAAGTTAAAATTTTAATTAATCAATGTATTTCCTTTGGATTCAGTTTGGTAATTTATTATTATGGGTTTTATTTCTTGTAACTTCATTTTGAAAAAAAGGTCTTTTTAATTTTCATTATTCATAAAAAATTAATTTTTGCTTTTAGAAATGTTTTCCCTTAATTATTTTTTAAATATGCAAGTACACTTATGCATTGAATCATGTTTAATAATTAGGTTAAAATTTATCAAAATAATTTAAATATTTGAAAACTGTAATAACAGTTTTCAGATTAATATATTAGACCTACAAACAGTATTAATGCGGTGCTTTATGTTACATTGATGTTATAATCATTTCGAAAAATTTGCAGTAATTTTTGGAATGATGATCAGAATTTTTTCATACCAATATTTTTTGTACTTCCATAAAGTGTACTTCGTACTTTTTATTGTAGATTTAATGTTACATTGATTTGAACTTAATAGAAAATGGGAAAATATTGCAAAATGTATAAAAAAAAATTAATGAAAATTGTTTACTTGCAAGTTATAGTACCTCCTGACTTTCACTCTTGTGAACAAAATTGTAACTTTATGCTATATTTTGTATGCTACTACCCAACACAGAGGTGGTGAAGTTAATGCACACATACCAAAAAATTTAGTTATATCGATAACAATTGGCCTTCAAATTATAAATTTTAACATACATTTATTATATAGATAGATATGTATTTTAACAGTAGAAAACTGAGCTCTGTAGTTTCTTTCTCTGTCACTTTACTATGTTAGGCAACATTTACATCTTTTTCTGAATATTAGCATAGAATTAAATATTTTATGTCCTGTGTGATTACGGAAATGTATTTTAAAGTTTTCACTTTTTATGATCATAAAATATAAGAATAATTCCCATATGAGTATGATAGACAAAAGTGTCTCATACATATTAATCAAAATATTTTAAACTATTAGTTTAATAATGTATTTTTCTCATTGAAGGCTTTCATCAAGCTGAGCACCAGATTTGTCAATCATTTTAAGACATTGCATTTCATATGTTGAAGTTATCAAACCATAATGATTGAAGAAAAGACTTTTTTTTTAAACGCTTTTTGGTATATATAAGGTTATTCCTAGTTGTAGAATTTTAAAGCTGAAACTTAAAACTGCTAAAATATTTAATCGATTTAAATATAAGCGAGAAGTTTCGAAGCTGTATTTTTGAGCATTACAAAAAATAATTTTCATATATGTCAAATTTATTGAAATGTGTAACATTGCTTAATTGTAGAACTGTCTTTTAGTTATGTGTTTTATTGCCTTGTTCAGCTTTTTTGCTTTCTTTTAGATGCTGCTTTTTTTTTTTTTATTTTTTACTTGCACAGCTTTTGCTTTTTTTATATGCATTGCATTGTTCTCTGTATTAATTGTCTGTTTCTGATTATTTGTCTGTCTTAATAAAATATTTCTCTGCAACTGTCTCTTCTTTGTGTTCCTACTTATTGCACATTCAGCACTTTTCACACATATAAGCACAGTATGTTTTATTTGTCTACTGTTTCATATGTTATGTATCACTTCTTGAATTTCAGAAACTACCAAATTACATTTTATAAGTACTGGACATGAACTTGTTACCATAGACTTTCATGGCCAAATAACAAGAAAGTTTTTTATTTTGTACATGTTGCATTAAAAAAAAATTGAATTAGATAATTTATGGTTTTGTCTGTGTGAGTGAAGTATGATTTAAATGACATCATATGAGATTTTGGAAAATTACAGAATTGTAATTTTTTTCGTTTTTAACGTTTCATTTAGGTATTCTTCTTAATAATGCCGCTTTACCTATTCTCTGCTTATATTCTTGTAGCTGAATGCTATCTTTGCCTATTTTACTGTACTAATAATATTTCATATCATTATATATTTTGTTTTAAGTATGTTTATACGAAAACAAATTTTAAATTATAAAATGTGGTTTTGGTAAAACATTTAATTATTTTTATTTTGCATCTTGGTCTAATGATTTTATGAGTATTATGAATTCATGTATTTGGTTTTGTTTCTTAAAGACAAATTATGTGTTCACCATTAAGTTGTTAAATTTTTTTTCAAAGAAATGAAATAAAGTGTTAGTGAATGCTTAATTGGGTATGAATTATGAGGAAAATTTCTTAGATAACTAAACACAATCTAAATTAATGTTGAATTTGTTCACAGGTTTAGGGCCACATAGTTTGGCAACTAATATCACTCTTCTAAGAGCAACTGAAGTAGATGAAATTTTTGAGGGCAAAGATGAAAAATATAGGGCAGTGTCTATAAGCACAGAACCACCAGTTTCACGGTACTATTCATTTAATTTTTTGAAAGTTTATTTTTTGGTAAAATAGGTTAAAAAGATTTAGTATGTGATGTCTATACTTGAAATATTTATAATCCTGTTTTCACATATTATTGTAATCAAGGTGCTTAATGTTTGAATATTGTTATTTATGCTTTAGAAATTATTGCTTTTAGTTCTTTGTCATGCAGCATAATTTTATAGTGAAGACTGTAGTGAGGGATAAAATTTGCCCTTCATTTGTACTGCCAATAATCCATAGTAACAGTTTATACAATCTTATAAATTATACCCCTATACTCGATTGTTTTCATTATGTTCAATACTGGACATGTAGAACCCAGTGATACTCTAATAAAAAAACTTCAATGCTGTATTCATATTATGCTGTTATTATTTTTCTCTGAATATGCATCTTTACATAACCTCTGTGCCATATAAAAACAATTAGTAATATAATCAAAAATTAAAGCTTTTGAGATGTCATAGATGTTAATGTGTTTGATAAATAATATATTGAATTTAATAGTTCTGCTCTGTATTAAGTACCTTTATGAACAACTGGGTGAACTGGGTGAAGAACAACTTTATGAATAACTTGCCATTTTATGCATTTTTAAATGATTCTTAGGCTGTTATTGAATTTTCTTAATAGTATTGCATTATTATGTTTAATTAAATGAACCCACAATGCCAGAGACATCTTATATCCTTTGGTAATTTGGTGTTTTTCAGGCATGACTCTGCTACATTTATTCAGTAATTAATACAGTACAAAGTCCGTAATCCGAACGTCCATTATCCGGAATGATCTTTAATCCAGACCTCAAAGCCACAAACATTTTTTTTTGTATGCTTTACACATGCGCGTAATGCATTTAGGCATGCGCGTTTAATGTATAACGGACGGTATAAGCTAGGCTAAAATTATCTTTACTGATTCTAAGGCATTTCAGTTAATGTTGCAGATTGTGCTATTCCTTAATCTTCTAATTGGATCCGGCTTATTATTTTTTGAAGACTGTTAGAGCATTTTTATAAAAAATTAAGCTTGAACTTTCGATTATGTCAAAAAGAGTTTCCAATTCTGGAGCTGCCAAAGGATCTACAAAGCAAAAGCATGTTTCGATGTCCATCAAGCAAAAAGTGGAATTGCTGCAAAAAATGGATAAAGGCATATTCGTCTCAAAATTATATGAGGAGTATGACATTGGAAAGTCAACTGTATATGACATCAGCAAAAAGGAAAAGGAACTTTTTGAATTTTTTGTGGATTCTGACACCCCATTTGCAATGAATAACAGAAAAAGGGTTCGTTATGCTAAATGTGATGATACAAAGTGATGATTGAATGCATCAGACAGCGTCGCAGTGAGGGTGTGCATTGAGGGTCCAATGCTATGGCTCAAGCCAAAATTTTCACGAAGAAATGAACTAAACACTGAGGCATATATTCGCAGGTTGGTTAACAAATTTAAAATTTCCATCGTATAAGACAATTAAAAATTTCAGGTGAGAAAGCTTCAGCTGATACTGAAGCTGCTGAACAATTTGCAGATGAATTCATTGAACTCATTACTAGTGAACAATTATCTCCAGAACAAATTTCCAATGCTGACGGAACTGGTCTTTTCTGGCAATATGTACCGCGAAATACCTTGGCAACTTCTATAGAAAAGGCTCCTTCTGGTTTCAAAGATTCCAAAGCAAGACTAACAATTTAAGCGTGCGCAAATGCTGCAGGAATGCACAAGTGCAAACTTTTCATGATCTGAAAACATGCACGATCTCGAGTAGTTAGAGTAATGATTTTCCCTGTTATATATTGCACAAATAAAAAGAGCTTGGATGACACAAGCGTTGATAAATGATTGGTTTGAAAATCATTTTAAACCCAAGGCTCAGTGACATTTGAATTCAATTGGTTTACCTGATGATTCAAAAATAGTCCTGATTGTTAACTGTTGACAACTGTTCGGCGTATACTTCACTTGAAGTTTTAGTAAAAGATAATGTATCCATATTATTCTTCCCTCCAGATTGTACGTCTATCATTCAGCCTATCGGTATGGGAATACAGTCAAAAGTCGTTAATTCGGACACCCATAATTCGGAATGATCTATAATCCGGACATCAAAACTAAAAACTTTCTGCGCATGCGCCGCGTTGACACATGCGCAGAGGCGTTCACGCGTGAGCGTAAGACCTTTTACGACTGCGCATATGAGTGTGCGCAAGTGCAGAATACGTTTTCGCATGCGCATTTTATGTATAATGGACGTATAAGCTAAATAATTATCTATTTCAGTTAATGTTGATGACTGCGTTGCTCTTTAATTTTCGAATTGCATTCGGCTTATTATTTTTTGCAGACTGTAAGAGCAATTTTATAAAAGTAAGCTTAAACTTTCGATTATATCAAATAGAATTTCCGATATATATTTGTTAATATGTAAAGGATCTAAAGCGAAAGTATGTTTTGAAATCCGAAATCTGTTTATCAATTTCACGCTGCTCGGCGGCGGGCGCGTAATGAATTGGAAGTTGATTTGTCAGCACTATCCTTATCTTCAGCGCAGATGTTTTTATTTTATTTGGCTTATAATTCCTACCAAATGTAGTATTTCATCTCGATATGCTACGTCTTTGATATGATTTAAAACAAGTTCCTCGTCATTATAATTCGCTTCCGATAGTGAAGAAAGTGACAGAGTTATTGAAAACAAAAAAATTTCGATTGACAAATTAGTCGGTATTCTTGACACAGCAATTATAGGACTTGAACGGCGGAAACTTTGTAACTGAACAGAAATTATGTCTGTTTAATAGAATTAAAGAGAAAGTATTATCACATAACGAAGCAAAACTTAAACAACTTACAGGTAGACAAAACTTAATAAAACATCTTTATTCTATCTCGCACAACCTTAAACAAACATTTATTACTACCCTTTTCAATACACTAAATACCCATTCGATTCACTTGGCCATTATTAAACTGTTTATAAAGTAAAACAAATAATATTAAGCTTTCTTTTGCAAATTTTGATACCCTTTAGATCATAATTGTTCTTATTTCATAAATTACGGTTTCATATTTTTAATTTTATAATTTCTGCATGCCATCTTACGAGATTCAAACTGATGATCTATAATCCGGAAAAATCGATAATCCGGAATTGCCGAAGTCCCGACGAGTCCGGATTAACGACTTTTGACTGTAGTGCACGTGCTGAAATGCAAATATAAAGTGACATGACGAGACTTTTTGGAATTTTTTAGCATAAAATCTGCTGTGTGGAGCATCGCAAGATCGCGGGAGTCTTCAGGTATGTTAAAAAATGCTTGGAATAATTTAAAGCCAGCTGCCATATTTCATGGTGAGGACGATGAAGATGATAGCTGTGAATTTGAAGGTTTTCAGACATCGCAAATTAATGTGAAATTTTCCAGTTATTGGATTATGTAAAGAAATGTGGAGAAGTGGTAATAAAGGAAGATGATATAACAGAAGTTTTTCATTGCGACAAAATGCCCCAATCATCAATCAATTAACAGACGGCAAAATCCGTAGTATGGTTCTAGATCCAGAAAATAGCACTTCCGATAGTGAAGAAAGTGACAGAGAGGTTATTGAAAACAGCAAAATTTCGATAGACAAGTTAGTCGGTAATCTCGACACAACAATTACAGGACTTGAACAGTGGAACTTTGTAACTGAACAAGAAATTATGTCTGTTTATAGATTTAAAGAGAAAGTATTAGCACAAAAAATGAAGCAACTTAAACAACTTACATTGAAAGAAATGTTTAATAAAGTAAACAAATAAATATTAAGCCTTTTTTTTTTGTAAATTTTGATACCCTTTAGATCATAATTGCTCTTTACTTCATAAATTACTGTTTCATGTTTTTAATTGTATATTTCTTCATGCCATCTTACCAGCCAGATTTATATTGATGATCTATAATCCGGCAAAACCCCTAACCCAGAATCACTGAAGTCCCGACGAGTCTGGATTATGGACTTTGTACTGTATGTTTCATTTCACCATATCAAAGCTGCGAAATTTTCCGATAAAATTTAGAAACTCCAGTTTTTTATCACATCTCCCGGTTTCTTGGTAAATATTCACATTTCCCAGATTTAAGTTTATTTAAATTTAGATCACCTCTTTCAGATGTATGTCTAGAAGAAAAGTTGATTTCTAATTGTCAGAAACAATACGTTAAAGAACAGGGTTCGTACGGTCCTTACGAGTCCTTAAAAGTCCTTAGATTTTTTGAATCGATTTTTTGGTCTTAAAAGTCTTAATTTTGGCCAAAATCAACAGAAGGTCCTTAATTTTAATCATCTGAAATTTCTGTCTGTTTTACGACGTCATTTGAGTGTGAATTAAATTTTTGAGGAATATTTTTGGCGATTCACTGGTTATATGGTAATCTTTCGAATGGGTTCATGATTATAATTTGCTTTATTTCTAATATAAAGATGGGATACTCGAGTTTCTAAGCAAGTGAAACATAAGCATTTGAAATTAATTTTAGTAAAGAGCTTAAACAATTTTTTGCTCTTGGGATATGAATTCTTTTTTAACGTTCTAAATTTGGCGACTTTCAACATTTTGGCAATTTTAAGATTAGTCTTATAGAAATTTTAATTCCAAAATCTGAGAATTTCGACAGTTTTTTAAACATCATAACATTGATAATTTATTAAAAATGGTAATATATTGAAATTATATTTAAAAAAACATTAAAATAAAACATTTATTTTTTGCTGTCATATTATAAAGTTTCATTTGGCAACTTATACAATATTTTAAATCTGAAAAATAAACAAGGGTAAGCTATAAAGCAAATTTATTCTTAGCTAGCTATGTAATAATTAAAAAGTGTTTTTAATTTTTGATAGTAGAGTTTCCCATGAATTGTCTCAGAATATTCATTTCAGAGTTCTCTTTTGCATAAATTAATTTTATGTTTTTCCCTCCTACTTTTTTCCCAAAATATTTCTGGCTTTTCTGTACAGAAATGATAGGGATAATTTTCTTGGGTTTTAGGCATTGCCTTGGAAAGTTTAGAAGGATTTGAAGGAAATTTATAGACCCCGATTCTAGAAGATTTGATAATGTGACAAATAAAATGTCTCCATGGTATTACATGTAGTGGATGTATTTTGCAGAAAGTTTGCAAGAATTTTCTTAATTTGGGAGAACTCTGGAGAACAATGAACTGATCTAGAATCTAACATGTTTATCTTCTCTTTATTTCTCTACTTTTACTAACAGAAGCATGGAAAATATCAAAAATTCTTCGATCTTATCACATGGGCAGTCATTATAGAAAGGGATTTTTTTATTAATAAGAATTGAAACTTACAATTTAAAGATCATCGATTTCTTAATGCTCTACACATTAGGCATTTCCCACCTGATGCAATCTCTGTGGATCTAATTCTGCTGCTACTGCCTTTCTAATTCTGCTTCCAATGCTTGCTCTAAATTCTTAAAGTTTGCCCTTATCTAGTTTTTTGTTCGGTGTTATAAATTCTAGAAATCTGCACATCAGTCTCTGTAACCGTTCTTACTAGATGTATTTCTATTGCTTCTGACTGTCATATACTAAAGAATAAAACCGCCACTTTTTCTTACATCTAAAGCATTTAGTGTTTTTTTAGAAAACGGAAATTCTAATTAAATTCTAAATGAAAAGAGAAACATGTGAAGAAAGAAACTGAGTAATAAGGAATATTCTTCAAAGATATGTCAGTTATATATGTAATTACCAATTTTTATGATTTAACCTTTACTATAATCCCATTTCTATTTCTCATATGGTAGTTATGAGTCAGATAAATTACAATAAATTATCGTGACACTATCATCCATATTTAATATAATTGACTGTCTTGTTTAATTACCACGTGAGCTGAATGGATTTGTTAACATCAGACATGCTTTATGTTCTAAGTTCTTTTAATAATACTTATTTAACCTTTGTCTGATATGTAGTTAAGTCACATAGCGCTAAATGCTTCACTCTATCAGGGGTTTGGACTATTAGTTTTACAGATCGATTAAACCCTCCTAGCTCATTATGGAGGTTGACATTAGAGAGAAGCATGCAGAACTATGCGAGCATTGGTTGCCTATTGAGCAATCTCTAATTGTTAGACAGAGGCTTAAAATAGAGGAAATCCATATAACGTTCAAAATGACCACTAGCGTAGTGTAAAATATTTATGCTATGATAAATGGCATAATTTTTTTATTCTCAAACTTATTAACAATTAGTTATTATTCATGTTAGAATAAGCGTACTACTTAGGGATCTTTTTATTTTTAGGATGATATTACAAAGTGAAATTTAGGCATCGTAATATCTTCAATTGATTTAATTCAATTGTCATAGAAAATTTTTTTATCAGAATGTGTGCCTGGAAATTTTACAAAGTATAAAAAAAAAATATACACACTTGAGCTGTAAGGACAATCGGGAAAAAGGGGGAAATAATTGGTTTCAGCATTTCGAGTAATTCTAATTATAATCTCCATTTCAGGACGTCGCAAGGATCAGATAAATTAGTCATCGACGTACACATAAATTAGATGTAGGAAGAAAATATTTTATAACTAATTTATATATATGTTATAAAGGACATGCAAAATTAATTTACTCGAAAACAAATCCCTTATGTGTATACACTCAGCATAAGGGGAGAGATTTTGGGCGAACTCGTTGTATCAGAGCACGGTGAGGGGGCGGGCGGCGGTTCAGCAAGCAAATTGTGGTTTTCTCCTTGTGTAATGTGTATTAAGAGCCAGTTTCCTTTCATCCTCCATGAAAGCAATGCTCCCTTTAGGCAGATAGCCCCAAAATGCTGTGCCATAATTAAATAAATCTCTCAGATCTAAACCTGTTGTCTTTCAAGGTTGGCAGCTATGCTGTATACTTTTTATAATGGAATATATACATTCTGAAATCAATCTTCTCAAACATTTAAGAATTAGTTTTTTTTAATAGTTTAAATTTTTTGTTTTTAAACCATGATCAATAACCACAAGTTGTTTTCATATTTGTCTTAGATTCTGTACTACTAGTCTAAGTCGCAATTGTATAACAAGGGGTTAATTATTAAAATTGTTAGTTTATCAGTTTATTTAATAGTTAGTGTTGGAAAATTAGTTTAATTTCGTATTCTGATGTTATATTCTAAAATGTTAAGAAATTTATCAATTTTGCTATGTATGCATGTCTTATTCATTTGTGATTTTTAAAAACTATTAAAACTCTTATTGATGGATGAAAGAGTAGCTTGCCAGTTTGAAATTAGAAGCTAAGAACTCTAATTTAGATTGATACAATTAAATAGGAAAACTGTATTCATTTTATGGGCCTGACAGCAGCTTCTCCTCAAAGAGCAAAAATATTCTGTTATGATTAGCTGAATATTTGTGTGAAGAAGAGTCATTCATGTCATATTCTGCATATAGCCAACTGCAGCTTAAAATTTCAAGGATCTTATTGGCTCTTTAAATCTGGTCTGTCTTAACAAACAATAGTCTTCAAATATAATTTGAAATAGAAATTTTATTTTGAAAATCCTTTTTAAATAGCACATAATTTAATTTTTTAAATTAAAATCTATGTTGAATAATGCCTTGTAGTTCAGACAACCTGCTGTGTGCTTATTGCCAAATAAAAAAACAAAAGGCTGTTGTTGGATGTGTGCAAAAGTTATGTTTTTTTAGTAAAAGAACTTTGGATATGTGGCAAGATTTTGGTGAGATATCCCAGTTGATTCGCGAGTCAGTGTTGTGGGCCACTGCAATAAAGAAGTACTGAATTCTGTAGAACAAATACTTTTATTGGCTTTTGATCTGCAATATACTCTCTACCATTTTCTGTAAACTGTTGCCATTTATCTGGAAATTTTTCTGTCCTTCTCCTTTAAAACTCCTTCTCTTTGTCACATAAAAATTTTGTAATCCGCCATGAGGATTTTTTATTTTGTTACATGTAGAAAATCATGTTGTGACCAAAAGAGATGGTATTCATATGGAACAATGCAAGTGAATACAAGATGTGCTTTATGAACTCTACCATATTGATCCTCTGAGCCTAAAGAGATGTGAGAGATCATGCATAGTTGTGATGGAATGAAACTTCTTGAGAGTTCCACAGGAATGTGTGATTTTTTTTAAAAAACCTTGTTAGGACAGTTCAGTTAGTAGTACTTCTACATGTTTGCTGCTAAACTACTTATCTCTTCATTTAATATTTGGTTTGGTGGTTACACCTCTTATTAGATCACTACTTTGAAATTCCATCAGTCACTTTGAGTCTTTTTGAGTAGTCGTTACTGAAGTACCAAAACCAGCATTTGTGTGCATGTTCTTATAAAGGGTTACATTCACATGCACCACTTATCCTTTGATGTTCTGCTGCTGCATTGTGCTCTAGACCAAACTCATGCAAAAGGCAAGGTTTGGTATAGTCCTTTTGAATCTTTGTTGCCCCACCTTTCACTTATTACTTAAGAAATTATCTGCAATGCTTACCAGACAGAACACTGGAAAGACTTTTTTGCTACACAGAATACTGGACAATCCCATATTATCCTGCTGCTAATTATTAAATGCAGATAAAAAGTTCCCAAGATCAGAAATACATAAAGCTGTATTACTGAATTTTGCCTAGTTTAAATCATTTTAATAAATAAATTTTGTACATATATTTAATGTTATACTTTTACATATTTTGCTTATTTTATTACTTTTTGTTGCTCTTAAATCATATAGTACTTGCCTTTCATTTTCTGCATCTTTTTTTTTTTTTTTTTTTTTTGTGTGTGTGTGTGTGTGTTGTGTGTGTGTGTGTTCTGATCAACCTTAATTGAAAGTTAAATTTTTCAAGTCTTTAAATGCTTATTACATGTATTTCATTGGTGCTATTTTGATTTATTAATTTCCTTTGTTGGACTAAGAAAGTTTTTTTTATTTTTTTTTTTTTTTTTTTTTTGTGTTTTTAGATTGTTAGAACATTGGTGTAGAACTCGTGAAATTTATTCATTTATAGTTTATTGTATAAATCTAGTTCTGACTTTCCCAATATCTGCAAGTTGTAAGTTTTCATTTTCATATAAGAAAACTAACATAAGTACTGATAAGGTGAAAATGTTCATATGCATTGATTTACAGCTGTTTGCAGCATATTTTTTAGATTTCTTGTTAATTTTATGCAATCCTCTGCATCACCTAAATTGAGCGTCATTCAATCGCTTGATCTTTAAATGATTGTAAAATTCAGTCTAGATTTCCATATTTTGTTATTTCTGTATCGCATCAATTCAGTAAAAGGGAACTATATGTAATATAAATTTTATATTTCTGTTAGGTTATAAAAGCATAAATCAAGGAAATTTTTGGTCATTTTTATATGAAAGTCTCCAGAAGTTTTCATAAATGCAAGTATGCACCTGTGTCTTTATTTGGAAGATTTTATATATTTATTTTGGGTATTAAACATTTTTGTTGAATAAAGGCCATGTAAAAATTTGAGTTTATCTTATTGATTTAAAATCTTTATTAATACTTGATCTTTATTGATACTTGGTGATATTCACAGTGCATATGCAATAAATTACATACCCTGCAATAAACACCATGGAGTTATATACATTTAGTTTTTACTTGCAATTTAAATGCATGCGTCATAATGCATTGCATTGCAGTAGTATTGTCTAATTAACATATATTTGTATTGCTATTGCCTAAAAAATTTACTATTATGTGTAAATACTGAACTTGGTATAAAATGAGATGCATGTCTAGTGATACTAAGGAATTATTTGACCTGTTCTTGATCGCCTTAATTCTCTAATTTTGAATGCAGTATTTTAAGATAAAAATCTCTTATGCATAAAATTTTTAATTTAAAATTTTAAATCTATAGTTTCTACTATTTTTTTCTTTAGTGAAATCAAGACAAAGAGAAGTACATGGATGCCTACCATGCCAAATAGTTCTCATCATTTAGATGCCGTTCCATGTTCAACTCCTGTGAATCGTAATAGGATAAGTCATAAAAAAGTGCGAACATTTCCCTTATTGTAAGTATGCTGATGACATAAAAGCATTAATCAAAAATAATTTAACATGTATATTTTATGGTAGTTTTCAAAGGTCATATTTCATTTCATGTATATAATGTAACTGCATGCAGATAAAAACAAGTTATTGAAGACTGGATTCCAAGTTGTTTTTTGCATTTATGAAAGCTGTATGTTGAGAGAAATTTACTTAAACTTTTGTGTTTGAGAATATAGCATGTAAATTGGGAGACATTTTTAAAACTTTATCTTAAAGCTAAATAGCTTTTTTTTTTTTAAACAGTTATCTTAAATTTTTTTTCCAGTATTCTTGTTAATGGTAAAGAGGCTGCATGAACATGTGTTTTTTCTGTCTGTAAAAATGTAACAAATTCTGTGAAAGTTTAATCACGTATTTATAAGATCAATACCAACTGCAAAATTGCTTAAACCACAAGGAACTGAAAAGTTAATTGTTCCTGGTAATTAAATATGCTAGCTGCTTGAAGTTTTCATGATTTTCCTCATCTGGGACAAATATGAGCTTCAGTCCTTGAAAATGGCATCCCGTGTCATAGGCAGATGATCCCTTGTGTGTTTTATAGAATTAATTCACTATGTAGGATCATCTAAGTATTTTAATAACATTTCATGATTTTATTTAAGACTTAGTTTTGTTTTCAGCCAACAAAGCAGTACTTAGGGGCAGATTAATTTTTACTGGGGTCTTGTTTCATAAATTGATAATTTTCAACATTATTTAATTTCTTTACTAAAATAAGATTTTGCCTTTGAGTAGTTTGAATTGCTTTCAATTTAGGGGTTTTATGTATGTCAAATTCTTGATTTTGTTTTGTGTTACAAAATTTATTCCTCCTCTGTGGTCATTTACTATACTGGTAGAGATTAGTACTTTGTTGATCTTGGCTGTAGGGGTATAAAGTACAGAAGCCTGTATCCCATTTAACAGCTGTCTGAATGAGTAGTATGACTGTCCAGTTAATTAAAAGGTAATTCTTAAAAATTCTTAAAAAGCTTCATACCCATTGTGGTTGCATTTAATTTGGGGCTCCTGTATAGTACAGAATTGAACATATGGGATGAGTTGTATAGTGGACTAATGAGAGAATATGAAACTCAAATATGTTTACTTGCTTAGTTTGCATGAACATGATGAAGAAATTCTCAATCTCAAAATAGACGAATATATTTTGCAGTTAATTTTATGACTTATTTATATGTATTTTCTAAAATTTTTATCTGTTAAAGATCTATCTATATATATTCTATAAAAGTAAGAAAATATATCAATAAGATATACGGTAAGCTATATTTTATGTTTTTTTTTTTTTCCTTCTTCTCTCTCCTTCTCCCACTTTTTTTTTTAAATATTTATAACATATATGAATGATTGATTTTTGTTTATAGGTATGATGATTTAGAACCATCTGTTATTCATGAAAATTCTACACAAACTGAAGTTCTTGTCCCAGTGCGTTTAGATATGGAAATTGAAGGCCATAAGCTTCGAGATACATTTACTTGGAATAAGAATGGTAACTTTTTACATAAAAATTAGTTGTACATATTTTATTAGAATATTAATAAATTAGTTAATTTACAATTGTGTCAGAGATGTTGATAATTATTTTTCTTATCGTGTATTACAGAAAATTTTTTATACAATTTTTAAGTTTTATAATAAATATAGTAATTTAAATTGATTTTACTTGTTAAACGATTCTATACAAGCTATATTTGAAAGCATTCAGTGAATTGTTTTAAAAAAATATAAATATTAACCAGGTTTCACACTGTTTAAAAGAAACAAATTTTAAGATTGATTTTAGAAGACACACAGTCTTGTAATTTTATATCAGATTTATTATCACATGTAATAGCAATCATAATAAGAATTTAGTTTTAGCCAATAATGATTAAAAAATGTGGAAGATATAGAATAGATAATACATAGTAGGAAAATTAATTCAATTTAGTGATGGAGGGGGAAATATGTATTATTCAGTAAGAATTAGAAAATCTGTGGGTAATTAAGCTAATATAGTAATTCTCCACATTTTAAGTATGTGCTCAGTGGGAGGATTCTGAGCACTTTCATCTGCCTTTAATTTTCCTTTGAGAATACTGAGATAAAATTTTTAAGTGTAATATTATTTGCTAAGCAATCATTATTGTATTAAAATATTAAGTTATTAAGCTTAATATTTGGAAATAAAATTGCATACTAACTAGTGAGGTGTACTTATGTCCCAGTGAAAGTTTTTGTACGAGTTTTATAAAAACAGTTCCAGTTTATGATATGAATTAGGTACTAGGGAAAGTAAGAAAAGATTTTACTAATAAGAAAAGATGGTTTTCCATTAAATAAATACAAACCCATTTTTTCTTTATATAATGTCTTGATGTATTTTAAAATTTTTGCAAAGCCTTTTCTTTCCTCCCTCTCTCTTTTTCCCCCTCTTATAGTATTGTACTTTTTCTGTATGTGCACTTGATATTTAATTCTTTTGGGCATGTTTATTTTTTTAATTTAATTATATTTATTTAATAAATTTATTTTAGATATCTTTATTTAAAAAATCTTAACATATTTTAAACATCTTACCCATTCCATGTTTATTGAAAATATAATGTTTTAATGTCTAAAGAATATAATCATGGTTTTCTGTCACACAGTTTTAAATGATAGATAGGTAACTTGAAGTGTTGGGTAATATGAAGACTGAGAACTGTGATGTGCTTGATAGTAGTAAGTACACCTAATACAGTAACAATAATAATAATATCTATTGTAAATTAGGTTTTTATAGTGTGCTGGATGAAATAGAGCACAGATAATCTGTGCTGTAGGATAATTTTGTGTACAAAAAACACCCTGAAACGAAAAGGGAGGGGGATCTTTTTCAGTTCCCTCTGGAGAAAGGTTTAAAAAATCAGTTTTTTAGGAATATGCTTCTGTTTCATTAATTGTTATCAAAAGAACTGATCATATCATCAAAAATTTTCCTTTAGAATAAATGAATGGTTACATGAAGAATGTAAATTTTCAAAGTTTTTAAAAATTTTCTGTAACATTATGTGTATATTATTTATAACTTACGAACATTTCTTCGCTAAAGAGCAATGATTACTTTATGTTCAGTAAAAAAAAAAAAAAAAAAAAATTCCCTGTGATATTACTGATAGTTTAATATTTGTTAAAATCAGTTGTATGAATTTTATGTTCATTGTCAAATTATTATAAAATATAATTATGTTTATTACAGAGTCTTTGATTACTCCAGAGCAGTTTGCTGAAGCTCTCTGTGATGATTTAGATTTGCCTCCTCTTTCTTTTGTACCAGCTATTGCTCAGTCAATACGGCAGCAAATCGATGCTTTTCCTACTGATAATCTTTTAGATGAACAGGCTGACCAAAGAGTTATTCTGAAGGTTTTTATTATTTATTTATCAAGTTAATTTTTTTAATGAACCTAGATTATGATATTAATCAATGTAATAATATATATTCAATTATACCTAGATTCTCTATATTGTGTGTTGTATAGCATCTATGCATTTTGCTCACCTCTTGAAAATCTGACTTCTTAAAAATATCAATTAAAAAACCGTAAAAAATGCAGGATTTTAAAATTTCCAGGAAATTTTAAATGCTGTATCATCTTTGAAACAAAAGAAAATCAGCTCAGAGTGAAAATAAAGAATAATCTCCCCTCATTAAATTTTCACCCACTTATCTTTTTTCCGTCTTGCTGAAAACGTTAAAGTAAGATCTTAACTTTCTTTCTGGGTGCATCCTGCAAAATGGACTCAAGGTTGTGACAAGCCGAGAAAGTAGCCTCCTTGCGATGAGCAGTGCATCATTGCCTTTTATTTTTCCATTTAGCAGACTCACAGTCCTTCAACATTTTTTATATAAGCAGCTGTTTCCAGATCCACAAAATAGAATTTATGATTCACAATGAACTGAGTGTATCATACTTTATTTAGTTCCTCTATTTTGCATACTCTTCAACAGTCTGAAAATAAATTATCAATCTCTCTTGTACACGATTCTTAATTTTTGTCATGAGTGCTATTTCTTCTCTAACCTGAAGAAGAAAGCAGTTATCAGTTCCTCAGAATAACCTGTAAATATACAGTATCATGGAAGAACCCTGCAGGCCTTGGAATTTTTGTTGGAAGAATAGACTTTCAGCTAGTTCCACAATTCCACCTTTTTGCCTATTTGGTTATCAGATTAAATGTAGAAAACGTAGTTCTTTCATAAAACTATTCAGTCAGAAGTCATATTTCACAAAGGTTGAGTTGTTTCTGCCATAACTTAATGTATGCCGTTCATCTGCCTAACACTCTATAAATCATTGAAGTTCGAATAATATTCATGCTTTGAGAGAATTATATGACACCTGTAATGTACAAGTAAGGTTGCTAAATTCAATAGGAATCAAAATTGAATCATATGGGAGTTTATGCTTTATTGATAAAATGTATTCCTAAGGATATATCGCTTGATTTTGCTAGTTAGAAAGCAGTTGAAGAAAATTTTAATGTCGGAGGCCTTCTGAAATTTCTAAAATGGGAAATTGAAAGTCATGAATGAGCTTCATTAAATTTATCTTGCTCTAAGAGTTATGCGAATACGAAAAAACATTTCATTCTATCTAATGTTAAATGAAACAGTTTTCCCGCTTGTATTTCTTTCATTCCTAAACCAATTGGTCATCCTCATAATGTAAACAAAATTACAGCTGTTCAACCTCTTTCTTGTTTATTTTGTGGAAGGGAAGATCATATTTTGGAAAAATGTGGTATGTCGCAGGAAGAAAGAAAAAAAGAGTTTGAAAGATTCTAATCTGTGGTTTCTTTGTTTCAAAAGGAACTGTAGAACAAAAAATTTCCCTTCTCAATCAAAATGTTCAAAATATAATTTTTAAAATATCATAACATATTGTTGCATGAAGATAAAAAAAAAGATTAATAAGGAGGAAATTAAGAATAATTCTAACGCCTTAAGAGCAAAGATTTCTTCTAAATATTTTAATTTGCATCATAAGCTAGGGAATTAATCAATGACTTGCCAAATGTTAAACTTAGTTGTGATGGTAAATTAATTAATGCAGTAGCAGATACAGACACCCAAGTAACTGTTGTTAAGGCTGATATTGTACCAGAAAGATACCATATGCCACATGAAAGTGTTATCCTCACATCAGCTTTTGGACAATCTTTAAAAGCTCCTCTCATTAACCAACTTTTAGTGATGCATTCTGGAGATGATAAATTCAAGTCATTTTTATAACATGTGCAATGGTTGATAAGGTATGTAATGGTTTACTTTTGTCGTTAAGTGCTTTTAATAAGTTAATGGAGATGATAAACGAAGGTTTAATTTTGAATGCAAAAATGTAAATATTACTAATGATAGTTTGGTTGAAATGCCTTTGTATGAAACTGAAAATTTTGATGAAATATTTAACCATGATAGGGAATACCTTATTAATGAAAATTGTAGTGAAACCATTAAGAAAATAATAGAATGTTGTGCTGTTGTATATGGAGACACCGGTAAGGATGATTCCAAAGGTAGCACAAGACAAGATCAATGTGTTTCGGATTCAGAACTGTTTCAGGTTCAGCAAATAAATGATCCATCTTTAAAAACATGCTGGCAAGATGCTAAGAATGGAAGTAATACTTTTATTATTATTGACAACTTTTGTGTCATAAAGATAAAATTTTAGGAGAAGGAGTTCACTAATTAGTTGATCCTAAACAAAAGAAGAAAACAGATTTTGGACTTGGCTCATTCTAGCATATGGGGAGGTCACCTGCAAACCAGAAAGGCAGCCGAACAATTGAGATATTCCTTTTACTGGTTTGATATCAAGAAAGATTTGAATGAGTACTGTAATACTTGTACTTTATTTCAACTTCAAGGTAAGAAATGTCCATTTGATGATGTTCTGGTTATGCCAGTAACACATCCTAGCGAACTATTCCAGGTAATTAATGTGGATATCCTTGGACCTCTAGAACCAAGCTGCCAAAGTTATAAATGTGTTCCGCATGCTGTTGATCAATGTACAAGATGGCCTGAGGCGGTGCCCCTAAAGAATCATAATATCAAATCAACATGAAATGTGTTGTTGCAAATCTTTACACACACTGGAATTCCTCAGATTGTTGCTTTAGATCAAGGAACTAATTTTACTGCTTCATCGAGTTTTTGAAAAGGATCGGATCATCACCAAGTTTCTGCACTCTTGACCATCCAAGTTCAAATGGCCTTGTACAAGGGCAATCCCCCCAAAAAAAGGTCTCCTATTTCTTGGGGGCATAGAGAAAGTTTTAATACGGTTGTTGGCAACACTGTTGTGAGTGGTGCCTTCTTCGCTACTACATAAGTACGCAGGCGCTTCGCTCGGATGCTCAGTCTTGGCTTGGCAGCCATTCGAAATGGAGCTCCCGATAAACGTTACCGCCAAGTGCGAAGTGCGCGCAGTTATTCGATTTTTTAACGCAAAAGGCGTTAAATCGGTTGAAATTCACTGCCTATTGACGGAAGTGTATGGACAGTCGTGCATGGATGTCAAAAACGTTTGCAAGTGGTGTAGAGAGTTTACAGCCGGTCGTACTGAAATTCATGACGAAGAAAGGAGCGGGAGGCCGTCAATTGCCGACGAGACAATCGCGAAAGTTGAGGAACTAATGCGTAAGATCTGAGGATCAGTCTGGATGCTCTCTGCATTTTTGTTCCCGAGGTTTCCAGAAGCACCATCCAAAGTTGCAATATCGGAAGGTGTGTGCAAGATGGGTTTTGCGTATGCTGACAGAAGACCACAAACGGCAACGGGTTGATTCTTCCCACGAATTTCTTTGCCGCTATGGAGATGAAAAGGACAACTTCTTGGACTCGATTGTCACAGGTGACGAAACCTGGGCATTCCACTTTACACCTGAGACAAAAGAACAGTCACGCTAGTGGCGGCATCCCTTTTCGCCAAGTCATGAAAATTCAAGCAAACACAATCTATTGGTAAAGTCATGGCAACTGTGTTTTGGGACAGGAAGGGGGTAAAGTTGGTTGACTTTCTGCCTGCTGAGACAACAGTTAACGCTGACAGGTACTGTGAAAGACTGAAGGAACTCAGAAGGGCAATTCAGAACCGGAGAAGAGGGATGTTGAGAAAGGGTGTAAGCATTCTCCATGACAACGCCCGTCCTCACGTCGCCCGTCAAACCGTCGATCTCCTGAAAAATTTTGGTTGGATCGTCATCACACACCCACCCTACAGTCCGGACTTGGCACCCGCGATTTCCACCTGTCCCTAAGTTGAAGGAAAATTTGTCTGGACGGTTGTTGTTCTGATGATGAGGTGAAGATGAGGTTCACGCTTCCTGAAGGGCATGGCGGCAAGCTGGTATGACATGGGCATTGTAAAACTGCCACTGCGTCTACAAAAATGCATCGACCGAAATGGCGATTATGTTAAAAAATAAAGCATTCTTCAATCTTTAAAGTGATGTAGCAGTTATAGAAAATAAATGGTTCTTTGTATATCTAAAAATATAGAAAATAAATTATAGAAAATAAATGGTTCTTTGTAAATCTTTTTTTTGGGGATTGGCCTCGTAGAAAGATTTAATACTGCTGAAAAGGAATTGATACAGCATATCATCAGAGAATATTCAAAAGATTGGGAGAAACACCTTGTTCCTCGTGGACAGTTAAGCTCAGTGACCGATTACCTGAATGATTTGAAGATGAAGTTAGAAAAAGCTGCTGAATATGCAAGACTTATAGCTGTTGGAAAGCAGCAAGCTTATGCATTCTGCCATGACCGGAAGACTTGTCATAAAGAATTTAAGGAAGGTGACAGGGTTATAGTTTTAATTCCTGATAGCAAAAACAAAGTTTATGCCAGATGGACCGGACCTGCTATGATCATTAAAAGCATACTAATTATAGTTCCATAGTGCAAATGCCTGACAATTCTTCAAAGCACGTTCAGGCAAATAAGGTATGAGAGTTGAAAACTTCAGTGAATAGTGTCGGTATGATATATGATACAGAAAAAAGCCTACTAAAGCCTGGTGCCAAAGGAGCAGAAACTGTACCAGATACCCGAAGTTCTAAAAAATGAAGCTGATCGACAAATAGGTGATCTATTACAGCTAGGGCTAATTGTTGAATCAGAGAGTGAATATGCACATCCAGTAGTTTGGGTGTCAAAAAAAGATAGAACTGTGAGATTATGTGTAAACTATTGGTACTTGAACTCACAAACGGAATCTGAGCCTTTCCGATGAAAAACACCATAGACCTAATTTACCAAGTGTCAAAGTCCAAATACATCACTTTGATTGATCTTAAAGGATACTGGCAGATACAATATTGTGCCCTGAGTACCAACATTTGACTTCGTTTG